CTTCCCTGTGGTGGAATATTCTCAGAGATATCAAAGACTGCTGGAGAGATGGAGCAATGGAGAGGCTGCTGGAAAATAGGACAACCAGCTCTGGATATTCACTTGGATGTTATTTTGTTGTTGTTTTGTTCTGCTGTTTATCTTTCATTTAAATATGTAATGAAGCAAAATCCCAATGAATTCTCAGAGCACAACATAAAATAGAAGATTTTTTTGTCTTTTATGTTTCAGAATCGTCAATGATATGGCTAAGCTAAACTAAAGAAGGCACTGATGTTCCTTCATCTGTTCCTCTACAGCCCCGGTCAAAAAAAAAAAAAAAACAGAAAATCACACCAAACACTTTTTATTGTTTCTAAAAACAATAATTGGCTGCACAAGAATGCCCCCGTGTTGAAACCACCAATATTAAATCTTACTCCATATCCCCATATCCAGTCTTTCTGCCTTACCAGGGGCACAGCCTTCCACGGCCTGCACAAAGTAGGATGTCGTCTGTGGAAGGGGTGCTTCAGTGTGGGTACACAGGTCCGTGAGGTGATAAGGTAAAGCTCCATGCCTGTTTCTAAGTCTTCCCATATTTCCCCATGTTAAATCCACTCATATTTTATATATTAACTCCTCCTGGATGTCTCCATGTTAAATGGACCCATATTTCACCCCAGCTGAGGTCCATGCGGGCTTTGGGTGCACTAAACCTGAGATGGAGGAGCTCCATGAGTCCCTAATATTTAATATGGGAAATTTGGGTGGAGTGCAAACAGGGACATGGGAGAGGATTTAATTGTTTTTAGGTGAAAAATCCACTTCATTCCTCACTGTAATGGAGTGCTTCGCAAGTCTGTCACTGCTCTCCCTATACATTTCCGTGGGCAGGCCCCAATTACACAATTTATATTTCAGAGAAAAATGTTCCTTTTTCGTCTGAACTGATTTTCAGTCTAACGGTGGAATGTTTTGAGGATATTAGAGATGAAGCCTAATTAATTAAAATACTTGTGCTCATTAGATCTTATTCAACAATTGAGGGCTGCACTCACATTTTATTTTCACACTAACTCACTCGTTCAGATGGTTAAACTGTGGTTGAGAATACCAGCTTCTGCATTCACTTCTCACAGGATAAGCCAGGCGGGTCACACGATGACATGCCGTGCGCCGCCGTTTCACCAGTAATGAGCCACTTTGGCAAATCAGTTTTAAGTGCCTGTTTTTAATGAGGTTCACACACACATGCATGAACAGAGTGTTGCTACGAATCCCCTCCGTCCTTGATCTGAGTCATGCTCCCAGTAGCTGAGAAGGGCTCTCATGACTGAGTCTGCACCCACCATGTGCACTAGTTAACTACTGCATCAGCAAGATGAAAGCAGCAGAAATAAGGCTCCCCTGCTGTGAATTTTGTCTCTTTTAATGTTTCTGTAAACTGCAGGGACTGGCATCACTGAGAACAATGCTGCAATGTGACGAATCCTGCAGCAATATAAATCATCTTTTCTCTTTGTGATGCTTATGGTGAGAGCTGCTGCAAAGGGAGGAAGTTTTTTTTTTTCCTCTGTGGGAGACAAAAGTAAAACCATTAAAATTAAAATAAGCTCAACAACTTTGACAGCATTGATGTGCCTCTTGCAAGGAGCATGGAACAAACAGGAAGGAGGAACCATTAGGAATGAGGAAAATACCTGATTACTTCCTCTTAATCACAGAGCTGAGTGGCACAGGATTAAGTTGAGCTTTCATCGCTCCTCTCTCCTCTCACATATCTCATTATCGTGGTCAAATATTAGCACACTGTTCCCCCTCTAAATCGCTTTCCATGTAAGTATTTTGATAGAGTGGATCTCAGCGTACCCTGCAGCTGAAGACCATAATCAGGATCATCAGATCATCAGGCTCTGTTGTCTGGACACCATACAATATTCTTATTCACAAAATTATGTCTAAGCTTATTAATGCAGAACTTCCTTCTCTTAGCTGAAATGCTTGATGGTTCCTCCTTCATTCAGTGTGAAGGGAACATTCTCTGCATAAAGTAGAACTGTACTCCCTTCATCTGTCCATGATAGAAGACTCAGTTTGAATCACAAAACTGCTTATTTGACTAGAGCTTGGCAGTAGCAAGATAGCTCTGACAGATTATTCTGTCTGCAGTTTTTCTGATAAATACACATTCACCTCCTGATATTTGTTATTGCTTGCATTAATATTCTTTGCTTAAATCATCTGGTTTTAACAGGTTGTAACTTACAATGTATGCTAGTGCAACAACAGTTTAATCTGTGATGCAAAACTATGAACCTGTATATAACACTGGTGTTATGAACTAAGAAAAGTTAACTTAATTCTGGGATATGGCATGAAATCCTTGATGGGGCCCCATGATAACATAATCAACATTATTTTTACCATGGCAAGATGACAAATTTTATCATAGTTTATCTCTATATTTCTACATTGATCATGTTTTCATTGAGTGAATTAATTTTTATGTGATATCCTGTAAGTTTATACGAGATGAATAGTCTTTATGAGGCAATACAGTTTACCAAATGCACCAACTGTAGGATTATGAACTGATTTGGCTTTATTTACTCCGTAAAATGTTGGTAGAGCATCTTTTTTTAACGTTGCCATTTTTAAGGACTGTTAAATTTGGTGTCACAATGGACATTATAACAGTGACATCTTCACAATGATGATTTCAAGACACCAAATATATCTTGCTGGATCCCTGGTAATAGGTTACAATATGAATTTGTTTTTACCACCAGGGATGTGACATCTCAGTATCAGATTATTGATGCAGATGAATTTATGGCAGTAATTATTCTATGTTCTCAAAATAAAACGTGAATGTACAACTAAGAGACAACTTGTCCTGATATTAGCTTAATCTGCTAAGCTCTAAACAGGAAGATTTTTTTGTCCTTCCCATGTTTATTTTTCATTTTTCTTCTTTGGTCGTCTGATTTCCTTTCTTGTGGAAAGACATGACGTTTTCCTGCCACCTGCTCCTTTACCCGCCTGGGGCAGATCACTCTACACATAACTCAGTTAAACCAGCAGGAGGCGGGTGTGTGGACTGGACCATTTACACCTTTCCAAAGGGGAGCTGAAGCTTTGAGGAGAACCCAACAATGCTGCTGATGCAAGACCAAGAACCATTTCGTTCAGCCAGGATAAATTTCATTGTGACGTTTTTGAGAACGTTGCTGTGAGCTCCCATCCCTGGACTGGGACTGAATTGAGGCCAAGGAATAAATTCAAATTTTCAATCAAAACAGTATTCCTCTAAGCTCAGAGTTTCACTTCAATCAGAAGGTATTTTGACACTGTTCATTTTTATATAAATGAGAAATCTGCTGAATGGAGAAATGATGGGAATAGTGATTTTAAAAAGACCTAAACTGACTTCAGAGTGCGGAATCAAGAGGGAAGCGTGAAAAGAGCCAATAAAGTTGTTTTTCAGTGGGTGCAGCCATAAAGTTTAGCATTTCTTTATGTCTGCCCCCCGCCAGACACACTTTACATCCCTCCTTGAACTACCAGCCAGATATTCTGAAAGTGCTGCTCTCCCCTCAGTCACAGAACTGAGCTGCGTTTAAGTGAATTAAATACCATTGGCCAGCAGCTACTAAAATAATCCTGTCAGAGGATAAAATGGACAAAGACTCACAGCTGAGTCAGAGTCCAAGGTACAGAAAGTTTCCTTCACAGCAACAGAATATGCTTTTATATCCATGTAGAAATATTAAACGACATTCCTCATATTCCTTGTGTGTTATTGGCGGGACTCCTGGACCCTGCACTCAATTTCTCACAAGCAAACAACTTCTCCTTACTTTTAGGGTTTTGAAATATTACTAGAATTATTTATGAAACTCAATTTCAAACAACTTTACAGACATATTAAAAACACAGATGTATATTAAAAAAAGCAAAAACAAACAAAAATGTGTATCATTTTTCTTCCATTTGTAAATAATAAAATACTTTTCATTGTCAGCTTCTGGTTGTAGCTTTTTGGGTATGAATATATTTTACACTGTTATTTATAACACCAAGTTTTTCAAGGCTTTAATCTAATATGTTAGGAATTATTCGGGCTTAAGAAACTCAAATAGCTTTCCCAACTTGCAGATAATATTACAAGTTCGTTACAAGCACAGCAACTTATATTAAAAAGTGATAAAACTATTTGTCACCAAGCCAAAAAAAAAATAAAAAAACAGCAGCCAATTGTGGAATCACAACATACCCACCCTTCTTTTTTTTAATTTTTCAGAGCATATTATAACAATACAAAACCAATAACATGATATTGTCCCAAAGTAGGCTTCAGATCTTGTCCTGTAACTGTGCAGCAACGCTTATTGTTTTTGCATGTCACTGCAGTTCATGTTGCATTCTGAAAGTAGCATTTTAAAAAACTTCATAAAGACTCATGTTGAATAAATGTAAAATCATATCACAGTAAATAATTGCTACTGATGAATGTTACGAACAAAAACTGAGGTCATGTTTCACAAACTCTTACAATTACAGCATAAGCAATTAAATTACATCTATTTGTAATTTGAATACAATATCAACCTGTTTCGCTGCTCACAGCCTTCAGTGCACTTTTGTCAAACATCCCCTCTACTATCGCCACATATGAGAGCAGTCATCAATCTCTCGCCGACTCATTCCATTAAATGTTAGCTTCTTCTTTTTGCATTCACTGGTTGGAGGAGATTAGATGAAGCACAAAGCAACGCTCTGACTTGAATGTTTGGTCTAGAGCAGGTAGCACTCTCTTATGAAGTTCTATACTGAAACTTCAGCAAAGTACGTCTTAATTTTGGCCCAGATATAAAAAAGAAAGGGCATTTACTAATATCAATAGCAGTGGAATAGTAGGTAGGGACGAAGCAACCTTGCAGCCGCGTCCTTGCAGGAGTGGTCAAATAAACTGATTTATGACCCAGGAGTGGAGAGGAAAGCAGGTGATTTAGGAATCAATTCATCACACTTTATTTTATGTTACCCCACCAGCTGATGTAGCAGCTAGAAAGCAGCACAATACAATCTCAGCACATTCGAGCAGTGTTGTATAAAGCAGATAATCAGTCTCAGAGCAGTCATTTTCATTCGAGTTTTATAGAAGTTAGTGCAATTACATGTGGGATTTCAGTGCTAATTTGTAGAGTCTATTTACACAACCCCATGATGGGGACTTGATAGATGATCTTTAGTGCAGGTTCAGTGCAGAACATGTGTCCAGCAATGCATCAAATAAGTATGAGACATTAAATGACAGTAGTTATAACTCATAGTAGGTTTGAAGGCAGTCATGGCACCGGCGAGGTCAATTAGGCCATTGCTTTGAAGGCTTGCAGGTGCTGGTTGAAAACGTCAGCACCTTCTTTGGCTGTCTGAAGCTGCTGCTCACACCACTGAGTCAGACTTTTCTGCACCATTCCCACCCGGTCCCTACTCAGATGGACAATCTGCAAAAAGCAAAGGGTGAAAATATTTTTCCTGACTGCTTAAGTATCTAAATAATGTTTGTTATTCGCAATCTGTTCACAGCTTTACAGCAGTATGGGTTCTGGTTGCTTCTTTACTATTTTACCTCTTGCTTTGCAACTTTACAGATCTGCTCAAACTCTCCCTCTGCTGCTTTCTTCACCTCCTCCATCTGAAACACATCGACGTCAACATCACTCCATGCTTTATTGGAGGGTCTTTCCCCTCGTCTTTTAAGGCTGGATTACACAAGCAGAATGTTGCTGCCATCTGCTGTTCACCTTAAGGACGTGCGTCTACTTTCATAATAATCCTTTCATATATAAAAGGTAAAGGGACTCACAGCATTCTTCTTCACAGGTTTGGCCTTCTCTGCATTCTTGCGGGCATTTTCCAGCTCCACCAGTTTGCATGTTCTTCTGAAGAGCATCTCCTTCGGGCAGAATAATTTATTTCACACACATCAGTACGATTCGGTGAGAGTCGACTCTACGACCGGAGAGCTCACCTTCTCTGCCTCTTGGTATCGCGTGTCCAGGTCCAGACCCAGTCCAAGAGTGTTCATGTCATTCACAGCAACGCTCATCATATTTTTCTGTACACAAAGAAACACACTGATTATTCTGGCACTAATGAATTAAGCATATTTCTACTGTTAAAATGACAAAATAGGTACCTTCATGGAGTCGAATACTTCTGACAATTTCACACAAACCCTGCGAGCAGAAAGTGTGTTTAATGAACATCCCAGATTGTTTGAAAGGATAATGCCTCACATCATATTGACGTGTTATAACAATTGTACTTTACTGGGAATCTTTGTGTGAGATTAACACATTTCATAATTTTGAGGTGGTGGAAAAGCGTGCAATAAATAAACATATGTCTTTGCATGTATGCAGTTGTGTTGTGCTCCTTTAATTTTTCAGATGACAGATTAAAGTTTGTGATACTGTTTTGTAACCAACTCTGCTTTAAACTTTTCCATGACCTCCTTGACCTGTGTCTTTTGTTCCGCAAAAGACACAGGTCACTTTATCTCAAGAAAAGATAAAGTGACCTGCCCTTGGTTCTGCTCTACACCAGTTTGGAAGCAGTTGAAATAAAAGCAAAAACTAAAACAAAGGAACTGCTGAGGAGAGATGTGAACATCAAGAAAGAACATAAACATATTCCTGTTAAAGTCACACTACACCTCGTGTATTTTATTATATGCAGCTTTTCACTAACTGTAACTACATGAAAACATTTGTTTTCTCACCTAGAAAAAGCCCTTTTTTCTGGATCCTCTCCGTTTTCAACACAGAGGTGCAGAGCAGCAGCAAAGTGCCCACAGGCCACAGCTATTTCTGCAAAGAAATACAATGGACGCTAATTGTTTACATTATTTTCCTTTTTTTTTTCCTTGCAATTCCAGACAATGTAAGCACATCCTTTTGATGTTAAAACTGCATTCTCTTCTGAATGTTTCATTGCGCCCTGGTATCGGTTGCTTAGCTGCTGGGGATTTTTTGCAACTGTTTTAACAACTGATTTAAAGTGAATTTCTCTTACAAACTCACAGTGTTGGATTTGATTGGATTTGAGTTTTCCAACTGAGCTCTTTGGGAATCAGAACCTCACTAAGTGGAAATAGGATGTATTAGTTGTGTTCAGATAAAAACATTTGATTAAATAAAATTCTACTTGAGCTTTGAGCATCTTTATGACGAGCATTTCTATAATTCATCAATATTTTCAACTGAATGGGGCGCTGTGGTGGTGCAGTGTTAAAGCACAAACCAACCCTCTCTTGTGACCTAGTTTGCTGTCTAACTACTCTCAAATAAAGGCCATCTAAACCAATAAAATCCTTATAAAAAAGTAACTAAAAAAACTGATGTACAATAGTTAGAGAAACAATATAGTAATGAGAAACGATGGAAAGAAATTGTTTGTTTATATGACGAGAAAGTAGGAGGGGACAAAACGCAGGCTGGAGATGTTTTAGGTAAATGTGTGGCTGGCTGCATTAACTGGTGTTGACCATGTCTCTTACTTTGCTCAGTTAGCACCACATCGAGGAATTTCTGCAAAAAAGGTCAAGTTAAAAAGAATTAGTTAGTGAGAGGAGGCAGAGAGGAGGTCAAAGAAAGAGATAAATAGGTGACTCACTTCCCCCGCCATCCTGGTATGTCCAGTTCGAGCAAGGTTATGATCACGTTCTGTCTGAAAAAACTCATCTACATCCTGCAGACAGATTTTTATAGCATTTATAGCTTTCTACCACCTGTGCATACCTTCTGTCCGTATAACTTAATGTTGCACACCTTATGTCCTTCTTTCCTCATTTCTTCCACAGCTTGACTCAGACGGTTGAAAATGTTTCTCCTGACTTTCTGTCTGCCTGGAGGCTGGACACATGTAAGAGACCAAGATATGTTCAAACAGACACTATATGCACCATTCCACATCCAAATCTCATCCTTCCCTCACACATCTAACCCCCAAAAGGTAATCTTTCCTCTTTGGTGGAGTGAGATGCTTCTTATAGCCATCTACTAGTCTCTAAAATCAGTCTGAGGAAATTCTGCCCCTCTCCTCCTTTTCAGCTCTAGATACTTCATGAGCTTCTTGCATGCACAGTTTGTTTCATCTGGGCTTTGATTCAGCTCAGGACCTTTCATTTCTCTTTAACCAGCTCTTGGTGGATTTATTGGTATGCTTTGGGTATTTGCCTTATGAGACTCGTAACTGCTTAAATATTCTTAGTAAAACTCTCAGTCACCTTTTAGATTCAACATACCACACCAAATACTCCAGGTTTAAAGACAGAAAACCTCCTTCAAAATCTATGATGTACATAGTGAGTCAAGGTGTCAAATTTCTTTCCCAGACAATCTTCAAACTTGTTTTCTCACATTTTCTTGTTTTATTGTAATAGCTGAATTCAACTCAACTATTACAATGAATTGATAGCAAAAATGCCGGAAAAACACAAGTGCTTTGTTGTGCATGACTGCATTTAGCTCTGCGGAAGAGAACAAGTAATATAAGACAATCTGTTGCTGCAGAGCATGAAAAATAACACCTCTGAAGAAGGATGGAATAAAGAATCTTTCTTCGTCAGAAATGCTTATAACCACACACTAAGGGTGACAAAGCAAAAGCGTAGCATTTTCTGAGAGTGTCACATTGGTCACATGAAATGTTCTCCTTTTAAACAACCTTGGTGAAAGTTTAACCATTTAATGTGAGCTTCTCTCATATAAAGCTTCTTCAGTGCACTCTATTAAAACCAGCATTGCTTGTTTGACAGTCAAAAATACAGACAGGTGTTGATGCGCATGTGGCCACTTACTTCAGTACTTGTCAAGAAGACCTCCACAGCTTTATTTTTGCTGAGTATGCTGTGAGCAGTCACCTGCCTGAGGAAAGTTTCCAGAGCTTTGCAGTACGGCTGCCACTCTCCTAAACCAAGAAAACCTGCAGGAAAAACAACTGTTTTTTACTTCACACAGAAAACACTGCAGGAAAAAAAAACACATTTAACTGGAAACTCATTAAATTACATTGCTCTTTTGTGCTCAGAGATATTCAGGTGCACTTACCAAGCTGTTTCATGGCCTTCGCAGATGCATTCACCTGAGGCCTCACTGGAAGAGGGGGGAACTTAAAAACAAGAAAGAAATATCTCTCTATTTATGTTCACAGATTCTTCTTAAAAAAAAAAAAGCTAAGTGTAAGCGTGCTTAACACACAAACCTGATATTATTTTGCTAGAAAGCATGAAGTTATATGTATCAAAATAAAACCTTTGATCATCACAAGCAGTACCATGTTGAAAAATATATTCAGAATACCTCCCATGCACATCATATTATAATCATATTATGATGAAAATTTAAGTTTTTAAAGACTAACTAATTGTATAATTAGCATTTTACAGATGTTTGCAGGTTTGTCCTCATAACAATTGATGCTCCATTTAATGACAAAAAGTAACTTGCAAATTTTGACTTCTGTGCCTATAGACATACAATGAGTGAAAATAAAAAAAGTATTTACTATAACTCCTTGTATCCCAGGTACATCCTCCTGAGCAAACAGATGCTGCTGAAGCCATTCAAAGTCATCATAGGTCCGGTCCACATGGTACTCTCCTGTCCCAGACAGCTTGAACAAACACCAGAGACCACAAGTCAGTTCAGCAGTTAGTTCTTTTAACTTCCCTTATCAAACCAATCAGCAGGTGCAGTTCATGCAAAAATAACAACCGTTCAGCAACTGTCTGAAGCCAAAGCAATCTGAAATTATTAATGCGTTCCCACCTTTTGAGAAACAATTATAAAGGTAAGCGTGTCCCCGTCCTGCGAGACTTCTGTAACTTTGATGGTATGTCCATAGACGCTCAAAACAGAAGTCGCCTCGTTCAACTCTTCCTGCTTAAAAAACATAAAAGAATAAACTCAGGACTTGCAGTCAATATCATCCAAAACAAAATAGAAATCTACATTCAATTTTTTTTTTTATTACAAAACAAAAATAAACCTACCTTGCAGTCACTGCTGTTTGCATCAAGTGAAATGCTGTCACATGATACTCACAAGTTTCCAAAAACAAACTAATCCATTACTTACCATCATCTTCAAGCCTTTAATTTATTCTTGAAGGCTCAATTTTTCTCTGCTTTTGTGAAAAAAAAAAGTTTAATCTTCTTTCCTTGCACTACAAAAAGCACAAAAACTAAAATGATCCTTTGTCTGCTTGTGTTTCAGTTCTCTGCTGTTGAGAAGGCACAGGATTTCCTCTGGGTCAAAGTGCACTCTGTCCCTGAGAGACATGAAAAAAAGTAAAACTGTTGCAAATGTAAAAGTGCTGTTGCAGGGAAACAGATGAGTAAACGATGTGTTAGTCTTTAACTCTGGACCGTTGGCACACCCACACAGGAAAACTGCCCTAACGGTCCGCTCTCTTATCTAGCCTTCGGCTTTACAACCTTGTAGCCACTTAATTTACAATTTATCTCACAACAGAAGAAAGACGAGTGCTTCCAAAGGACATGCAGTGCTGCTTCTAAAATATTTAAAATACTCATGATCTTTGAGCCTTTCACATTTCATCCCACATCAAACTTTAATTAATTTTAGCGGAATATTACCAACACATGTGATTTATTGCTGTAAAGAAGATGATAGAGTGTTTTTTTTTTCTTGCCACTCAACCATTAAGGCCAGATTTGTTGATCTTATTCCATGTTTGTCAAGTCAACATCTCGTCTATTGCACAGAAGAAATGTGCACCTCCTCCAGAGTTACCATGGCAGTTATCTTGGCAGCTTCTTGAAGTAAGACGACTCTTCTTTCCACTTCACAACTGTGTGCCATTTTGTGCTGGTTTATCTGATAAATGCCCACAAACTCCACTGAAGTTTTAAACATGACTTTAGTAAAGCGCCACCTCAGCATAATGAATGCAGGACACAACTTGCTTGAAAAATTTTATTATAAATAAAAGAGGGTATATTAAAACAATAAATCAATAGTGATGCTCCTCCTCATTTCCATCATCAAAATAAAAGCTGAAGGTAGAGTCTTCAGAACTGTAATGTCTGTTGTGAAAGTACTCCTCTTCCTCTTCCTCTTCCTCTTCCTGGAAGAAGCTCCAGTGAATGTGTGGTTCATCCATAAAGGCAATGTCATGGAAATCCTGGAATAAGTCTGAGAAACTGAAGTGGAAGCTGGTCTCATCCTCATCTTCAAATGAGTCCGGGTTTTCCAAGAAGGCCTCATGACCCACGCTGTCATAGAGACGCCTTTTCTTCTTATCTGACAGCACTGCATAGGCTAGAGGAGAAAAAAACACGAGAATAAACATGTCTTTAACTTCTATGATACATTCAAAATGTTATTTTTAAGGTTACGAAACATTAGTCCAAGGGATAATTAAATCTGACCACTGCTTAGCTTTCTTAGGCCAGCAGGGGGCTAAGAACAACCCCTATGAAACAAAACATACACATCAAAATTACTTATTTCGAGTTACATTTATTAAAACCAGTGAATTTTTTGATTTGTTTCAAACGTTTAGCAATAGCACATTAAAAGAAATTGAACATGAAAATGCATTTGGGGAATTTAAAAGGACTGAAAAAATATCTAGTCATACAAGTGAAAGTATTCATAGTTTGATACTTACGATAAAAATCATAATCAGAGATGCTCTGATCAAAAGTTGGGAGAGTTTTGTGACATTGAGTTTTTGTAAAGCTTTGAATTGTTGATACAGAGTTTCACTTACCGTAATATAATACGAGTTGAATATGTTATCATTAACATATATTCCCACCTTCTTCCCATGAAAGGTCATTAACTATTTATATTATGGGTTGAGGTCGTCTTATCCTCTGTATGTAAGAGCAGAATTGCTCTCAAAAAAAGTTGTGTTTTGTTAATGTTTTTAATCAAAGAAAACATTTTTGACTTGACAATATAAACTAACCGTAAACTTGTATTTTAAATTTCAAACCGAAAGCTCAGTTTTTATGTTAACTACCTAGAAAATCTAGACAGTTCCTTTAGCTCTGAGGTTTTCAAAAGTCTCCCAACAGTTCGTGATAAACAGAGGCTGAAACCATAAAAGGACAAAAGAGAGTGAAGTTGCTGTGCTACATTTAGCCTTCTTGATATGAGCTCAATCTCTCTTATTCCTTCACAGCATCATGCAGTTGAAAGCACATTTCACCTATGACAACTTTTACATTTCACTCATATTGAAAAGGCTAAAATTTACTCTTGGAGCAATTTATTCTTTGTTTTTTTATTTTCCATTTGAATTTTGTTAGTTTATTCTTAAACTTCTATTTTTGTGTTATTTACAGAGTTAATTTGCAGGTTAATAATTGTTGATTTTATTTATGTTTTGGGTATAGAGTTACATTCAATACCTGAATTTGTAGCACATCTATGACACTTTAATTACCATAATTCATTAAAAAAAAAAACTTCACTACAAGCAGAAATAAACTGATGTAATGATTTCAGCATGGGTGTGAAATTGTTTACTTACATCATAAATTGGATTTAGACCTAAATGGCCTCATATAGATTATAAATAGCTCTATAGATCAAGGGGAAAATGGATCCAAAACTTGTGTTCATTGAGCCAAAATAGGTCAGCAGCAATTTCTTATGCCTTGTTGCTGACATAATCACATCTGCTGTTTGTTTCAGCTGGAGACACATATCATGTACAATGTAACTGTGATTGGATTGTTAGATAAAGGACAGAATGTCTTTTGTTCCCAAATTGTCCTCTAGATAAGTCTGAATGAGCAAGTCAAGAGAATTATGACGTTGTTGCCACAATTCACTGCAATCTAAACAATAAATTACATGAAGTAGAATTGGTGCCCCAAATTAGATTCTCACACACAGAACAGGTCCTGCTCGAGGAAAACCATTGCATATCATGACATTTAGATGCCAGTGTGTCGCAGCGAGGTTTACCTTCTGCAATCTCCCTGAAAGTGGTTTCAGCTTGGGCGCTCTTGTTCTTGTCAGGGTGGTACCTCACTGCCAGGCTGCGGAAAGACTTTTTGATCTGGGTGTCCGAGGCAGTCCGCTCAACATTCAGGGTGTCATAGAAACTTCTCACGGTCTCCGAGGCTGAGGCTCGCTGGTCTTCAGTCAGGTACGCGAGCAGCAAGACCAAACAGGCTCGCATCCTGCGGGAAACACCTTGTCCTGCCATGCTGGACGCCTGGAAGACAATGGAGAAGCTCGAAACAAAGTTTATCTAGGAGATTAGAGTGAGGGAGGGGAGGGGGGTGCCTGGCTTTTGACAGCTTAATTTCCATATGCATACAACGCTATCTAGATCACGCATGAACAGCAGAAGCGGAGGCTAACGAACGTTTTGACTCACCGGAAATCGCGTTTAAAAAGAGCTAAATTCAAGTAAAGGAGCATACAGCAACGTCGAAACTATAAATACACATTGACATCAAAAGAGTGCTGCTTCCTTGTTAAAAGCGAGCACACCGCGCCACAGTTCACTAACCTACCGCTAGAGGCCAGTGAAAAACAACAAAAGTCTTCTTCGTTGGTAGTTAAAGACGCATCAAGAAAGGAGGTAAACAGCACTCTCTGGTCAGGTCTTGAGGTATTTCTAAATACCTTTTGTTAATAGCAAGCCTCTTGTTAATAGCTATATTATTGTTGAACTGATCGCAGAGCTCTTGAACACCCTTTCTGACTGCAAACCACTCGACTGCTCTTTCCGTCTGGTAAGGAACTGTTAGCATTTAGCCAGCTAGCAACGTTTGCTAGCGGTTAGCTCTGCAGCGAGGTCGCCCCAATCTTTTAAACTGATTTAGTCCAGGACCTGATGTAATATTGTGATCATTATTTACCGATAAAGCCTGCAGTAATTAAATCCACCTGTCATTTTCTGTTGTTTCCCAGTATATTAACTTTTGATCATCATTATTAGCAAGTAACAACAGTGGTGCGAACCATTTTCCGTGCTTTGTCACGTGTATTTAATCTAACGTCTTATTTATTTGTATCGGTCTCTCGCCAGGTCTTGTCTTGCAAATTGATAAATAAACACAGCTTAAGCAGCGGACGTAATTTATACAGCATTTAAATAAAACCGGAGCTGTTGAAATGCATGCATTAGCATAAAGACACTTGCCCAAAGGTTTCTACAAGTTTTGAGAAATACCTTGTATCTTTAGGTTTTGACGAATAGTTTAAGATTTGGTTTTCACAAAAGCATGTTTAATGTACCTGAAGCCATAAGGTATATTACGAAATAAACAGTTACATAATGTTAAACTGAGTTCACTCCAAAAATCATAATATTTTATTCTTGAGCAGATTAATCATCTGTTCTAATTCCAGGTTCAATAAAAATTGAAACAAATTCAAACATATTTAAAGATTAAGTACAATGTTTGCATTTTACAATTTGCACATTTTCTTTAAAGACAGGATACTTCTCTTTCTCTGTTTTGATAGTGAATATTCACTATTTTGATCATCAGCCTTCATATATTAACTTAAGTGATCCAATTCTTAATCCAATTAAGATGGTGACAGCTATTAAAGTTGCAATAAAAAATAACATCACTTGAATGTTATGTTAAATCACTTTTGGATGAATAGGTTTTTACACAACTACTTTTTTGATACTTTGCTTGGCAAACCTATTGTAACCATTTCATGTCTGTACATTGCACGAATTGAAAATCAAAAACATTCATTTAAACATCATGTTTGGACCTGTAAAATCTTCTTTGGCATCTGTAACATCAACATTTGTTGTGTTTGACTTCCGAATCTGTTTATTTAAATGATTAATTTTGTTTTGCAGATTAATGAGTACTGGATTGCATTACTCCAAAGGAGAAAAACAGAAGGCAGTCCATAATCTGTTGACCAGTGTATGTGCACATTTGGCAGGTCACTTCAGTCAAACCCTCCAACACACATGAGTCCAATTTTCTCTTGGAGCAGGGCCAAGCGCCATGCCTGACCGGGACAGTTCCTACCTGTCAGGTGGTGGTGGGAGTGGGGGTAATCTGGGTGAGGAAGGAGGACCTGGGTCTGGTTTGGTGGGGGGCTCGGCGGACTGCAGAGGCGGTTCTGGGGGAGGTGTTGGTGGGAACATCTCTGGCTCAGGGGGGATGGGTGGAGGGGCGGCGCCCGGAAACAGCAACGGTTTTGGTAATGGTGGAGGAGGGGGGCCAGGTGCGGGACTGGCTCTAGACGGTGTTTGCAGGGATTTTATACGCAATGTCTGCAAGAGAGGGAAGCGCTGCCGCTTCAAACACCCAGACTTTAATGAAGTCCCAGACCTTGGAGTGCAGAAGAATGAGTTCATCTTCTGTCATGACTACCAGAACAAGGACTGCATGCGCTCCAACTGCCGCTTTGTGCACGGGTCTAAAGAGGATGAGGACTATTACAAGAAAACAGGAGAGCTGCCCCCCAGACTACGAGGGAAGGTTGCGGCTCGCCTTGGCCTCTCCTTGATGGATCTCCCTCTCAGCCGAGGCGAGGTTCCAATCTGCAGAGACTTCCTTAAGGGGGAATGCCAGCGAGGAAACAAATGTAAATTTCGCCATGTCAAGAAAGACTACGAATATGAACCTTCAAGAGCTGGGGTGGGTGGGGTCGTGGGGCAGGGAGCCATTGGGATGGTGAACACGGGTGGAGGAATGGGTGGAGGAGGAGGAGGCGTCTGTGGAGGAATGCAAGGACTTGTTGGAGGTGGGGGTAACATGATTGGGACGGGCTGCCCCAGCCTGGGCAGCTGCAGAGATGTAGGTCTGTCTGGGGTAGGTGGCATGGGCGGAGGTGGAATGAGCGGTTGTCTGTCCATCGGTTCTTCAGGACAGCGGCGGTATGACAGAAGCTCAGTGTATGACCCGCTGCTCGAAAGTGGGCTGTTTGATGCCGGTGCTTTTGAGGCGTCCATGGATCACACTGCTCTACAGCTGAAGAGGCGGAGGTTGGAAGGGCTTCGACTGACCGATGGGAGCGGAGGAGGGCACTATGAGTTGGGTGTTCAAGCTGCTCTGACACCTCGTCCTCTGGAGTACAGATTCCTGGAGGAAGAAAATTCCCTTCTGAGGAAGAGAGTGGAAGAGTTGAAAAAGCAGGTTAGATGAACTGATTTATGTCACTTGAATGTTGTGTAGCTCGAACAACAGGTAGGCACAGATCAGTGTTTTTGTTGTATTTAATGTGGGATTGTTCAATTTAGATAAGTTATTTTTTACCATTTAGAATTTAAAACATTTAAAAATGCCCATACACCTAAAACAATGACTATATTCATGCAACTTTGATGTACAATTTGTGCAGAGCAATTTCAACCAGGTGAATTTTTTTTACTATGCCATGGAAACACAATCTAGAAAATAAGTCTGGAATGTTTTAAAATGAGAGCATCTTAAGCAAATCTGTAAAAGACGTCATGAAAGTTTCTCCTGAAGTGATTGGTAACATGTGGGAAGAAATATTTTGATTATAGAGATTATAGAGCAGAGCATTCAGAGTTACATAGTAATATATTTGTCATTGGTATATTTGCTCTTGAGGAGAACTGTCAAAAAAAGACAAAACATTTGCAAACCTCAGGGATAAATTCCTCAAAAAGTCTAAAAAAAACTTACTTGATCTTATGTTTGTACTGCTTTTTACTCACAGTATTTTCTAAGTCATGTTTTGTGTGTTCCAATCACAGGTTTCCAATCTCATTGCCACCAATGAGGTCCTCCTGGAGCAGAACGCCCAATTTCGGAGCCAAGCCAAGGTGATGACTCTGTCCTCCACACCTGCTCCCACCGAGCAGAATCTAGCGCCCCCTGTGGGTGCAGTGAGCTCCTACAATCACAGCATTGCTCAGACCCACACCACCCTCAGCAGTGCCGGGCTGCAGCCTCGGCCCGTCACTCAGCAAGACCTGGTGGCTCCCACTGGCGCCCCTGCTGCTCCGCCCACTAATGCAGCCCCACCCACTGCTCCTCCACCACACCTCAACCCAGAGATCACGCCGCTCTCGGCTGCCCTCGCACAGACCATCGCTCAGGGAATGGCGCCACCCGTTTCCATGGCCCAGGTGGCAGTATCCGTGGCACCGGTGGCCGTGTCCATGACCCAACCTATACCTGGCATCACTATGAGCCACGCTACCACCCCGATGGTATCGTATCCCATTGCAAGTCAAAGCATGAGGATCACGACCCTGCCTCACTGAATACATGTTGAACCCTTCAGTCAGACTCTAGCATCCTAAAGGGGAATTTTTAACTTGAAAGATCTTTTTTTTGTGTGTGTTTTTGGGACTAAAGTTATGAAGAAAAACAGAAATGTGAGATGTGGACACATTTATTTCCCAACAGAAAGACAATACGAAGAGTTATTTCTGTGTTGCATGGCAACATTATAAGTATCAGTTTCCTGCAGATCTGTGAGCTGTCACAAAGCTCCATGTACAACGGGCAAGATTTTCTCCCTGAGATGTCAACAAACTCAAGGTGTGAACTTTTCCTCAGTCTGAGAAGATTCCCATTCCTCCATGTTTCCACACAGACGAAAACAGTCTGTTTATATTTTTGTGGCTTGATCTGTTGTAAATTAATTTTGGTACTTTAAAAAAAATCTTTAACAACCACTTAATGATGAGTGTTGTTTCATTTCTCTGTTGATCATTTTTAATGCTTATTAAACTTTTAAGTTCTTTAACCGGTAGGTGCAAGCAGCTAAGTCAACTGTAAGCAGACATGGTTTCAAATACCAAATGCTTCTAACATCCTGTTGCCTCAGTTGTTAGGGTGGAGTCATGCTGTGTAAACTTAAACATAATCTCTTTTTCTTCAGGAGCTTGAGATCTGTCTCCCCTTCAAAAAGCTGTTACATTTATCTGTGTCCTCTTGAGTGTCTTCATAACCATGGAATATTGTGAAACCCATCAGATTTTGCAGACTTTGTAGGGTTTCACTTTGCTTTTTTGAATGAAATTTTATTCATAAATGTGTTTTAATCATTCCTTTAAACGGGTAAAAGCAGCTTTTTAAGACACCAAACAACTTGATTTGAAAGTTTGTAAAAGCAGTCGTGCACACTGAAAACACATTTTTGTACTTTAAATGTCACATTCACAGAGTTAAGTTAAAAACAAATCTTAATGGTCGACCTGGGAAATTTATCATGCACACAGTATTGATGGGGCAGAAAAATTAGCAAGTAACTGTTTTTTTTCTAACCATGATTGCTTGTAAACACACTAAACTTGGCTCTTCCTTCCTGAATTGTCTCGTGTTCAGTGCCTGCTCACCAGATGCGACTGCCAAAGAGCAAATGAGTAAGTATGAGTTGCCATCTCCCCGTTTGTTTTTCTTACATTGGGAAAACTACTTCACTGAAAAGACATGGTTTTTTTTTTATGTTGGTGGTATATGGTGTATATTGATTCACCCATCTTTACCATTATGTGCAACAAGATGTGCTTCTGTGTAATCAGTGTAAATAT